ACATTATTTTTGGAGGTCAGTCTTCCCTGAAATTAAAGGTAACAGCGCTGAAACCGGTTTGGCTCAGTGGTAGAGCGTTGGTCTGCGGACTGAAAGGTCCCAAGTTCGATTCTGGTCAAGGGCATGTACATTGGTTCCGGGCACGTCCCCAGTAGGGGGTGTGCAGGAGGCAGCTGGTCGATGTTTCTCTCTCATCGACGTTTCTAGCTCTCTATCCCTCTCCCTTCCTCTCTGTAAAAAAAATCAATAAAATATAAATTAAAAAAAAGAAAGAAAAGAAAAGGTAACAACAGCATGCCTCATCGCCTGCCACTTTGCCATCTTGTTTTGGATTTGCTGCATGAAGCACACGTGAGGTGGGAAAGAAACTTCTTGTTTCTTCCTGAGCAGTTCTGGCTGGAGTGCATCCGAGCGACCCTCTCGTTCACAGCAGGGATAGCAAGAAGCCCTGCATGCGGAGCAGCTGCGGCGGTGCCCTCTGTGGCTGCTGCATGTGATTCGAGGCCACTCTGCCTTTGAGATGGGCTGGTTCTGTCCCTGAGCTTGCTGAAGGCCTGTGAGGCCTGCGCTGCCATTGGCAGGAGCTGCCCACTTCCTGTTACCGGGAATGCTGCTTGTTGCCATGGCTACAAGCAGAAGCCCAGGGCTGTCACGGAAAGAGTGTGGCTCTCCCTGCCTCTAAGGTTGCATGCTTCTCATGCTCCTAGAGCCTGAGGCTCATCTGTAGGCTTCTTGAGAGGAAGTGAGTAAGCCCATCGTTTTTATATATATATATATTTCAGAGAGGAAGGGAGAGGAAGAGAGATAAAAACATCAATGATGAGAGAGAATCAGTCATTGGCTGCCACCTGCATGGCCCTCACCAGGGATAGAGCCCAAAACCCAGACATGTGCCCCAAACGGGAATCGAACTTTGACCTCCTGTATCATAGGTCGACACTCAACCACTGAGCCACGTCGGCCAGGCCAAACCCATCTTGATGGGACATATACATCTAACAGTCACGGCCCAGGGCTCCAGAGCGGGTCATACAGGCCATTTGGGTCCTTCCTAAGGTTTGAACAAATGGCTTGTGCAGAGGGGGGTTGCTTTGCAATTTGCATTCCCACATGGTCAGCATGTGGCGCGGCTCTGGGCTCAAAGGGGAAATGGGAGAAGGAGTGAGGCAGATCCTTTTCAAAAGAGGCATCATAGTTACTCCTCATATTCACCTGAATAATTCATCGTTGTGTGTTCATACTGCCCTGCTGCCTGGAGGCAGTGCCTTCCAGTAGATGGAGCTGGGATGGGCCCATTCTTCCAGACAGAATTCCTGCCATCCTCAGCGTTTATTACTATCATTACTTGTTCTGAAACAAGGACTCCACCTGCCTTTTGGAGAAGGGAAGCAGGAGGCTGAGAAATTGTCCTGAGAGTATTGTAGGTACAGTTCTTGTGAATTTTTTAAATGGCTTTAAAAAATAAGCCACACAATTTTAAGTATTAGCATGATGTCAAAACTTTATTGGCTTTTAGCCGAAACTGATTTGGCTCAGTGGATAGAGTGTCGGTCTGCAGACTGAAAGGTCCCAGGTTCGATTCTGGTCAAGGGTATGTACATTGGTTGTGAGCACATCCCCAGTTGGGGGTGTGCAGGAAGCAGCTGGTCAATGTTTCTCTCTCATCGATGTTTCTAACTCTCTGTCCCTCTCCCTTCCTCTCTGTAAAAAAAAAATCAATAAAATATATTTTTTAAAAACCCACTTTATTGGCTTTTCAAATATATGTTGTCTTTGGAATATATATGTACACACACATATAGATATGCATACACATACACACATACATATAGATACACACATGCATGTTGTATTAGCTTCCTGGGGCTGCCATGACAATGTACTGTAAGCTGAGAGGAGTGAACAACAGGAATCATCTCTCTGTTCTGGAGTTCGAAGTCTGAGATTGAAGTGTATGGATGGCTGGTCCCAGGCTTCCCCCAGCTGCTGGTCTCAGGCAATCCTTGGCTTTTAAGCACCTCACCCAGTCTCTGCCTTCTTGCTCACATGGTGTTCTCCCAGCCTGGTGTCTCCGTGTCCATATTTATCTTGTTGGTTGACAAAAGTTGGCTTTCCCCCTTATTATTAGAGAAATGCATACTTATTTTAGAAAATACAGGCAAGCCAAAGAGAAAATAGGAATTCTGAAAGCACGTCACCCAAAGATGACATTAACTCAATGTTGCTAAGCGCCCACCACCCTTGGTCTTCCCCCATCTAGCTGCTTCTCTCAGATAAGAGAGTCACATACACAAGTGTTTCAGCAACATCTGCCCTTTGGCCATGAATTTCCCCAAACAGCCTCAGTCACAAGAATCTCTTTCAACATTCCTGTGTGTCAGACTATGTTCCTTATGGACTTTATGAAATATGGCTATTGGGGTAGTGTTCCCTCTGATATAGTGTTTCATGCTATTAGATTAATTTTTTTTTTTTTAGAAATCAATTTTAAGTTGCCTTCATAAGGTTGAAGAATTTTCTATTTCAGTTTTTTAAAGCAGTATTCAGAAGAATTTATTTTAATCATTTTCTTTTTCGTCCTTTTCTTGTAGACTAAATGCACCAGATGTCAGGTCCTTAGTATCTCCAAAGTTGCACTAAAAGGTCACTCTAAAATTATGCAAGTTTTAGGGAAAATCAAGGGAAATGGGAAGTTAGTAGTTAGCAGCCCAACGATTACAGAATCTTATGATGTTTTCAAGCTCAATGTGGATTTCTGTTTCTCATTTTTCTAATTTCAGGGAATGAATTTTATAGCGGGATACCTGATTCTTATCACAAAGAACGAAGAAGAATCCTTTTGGCTATTAGATGCTCTTGTTGGAAGAATACTACCTGGTATGTTGAAAATCCATTCTGCGTGCCTTTCACTGTCTTGTTTCTGGTGTTATCGAAATGATTCAGCTGGCAAGTCAAGATTTAATGAAAATATAACCGAGTTGTTTGGGGGTTGAGGTTTAAAATACTTTGGCAGTGAAGTTAGAGAGAAGAAATACGTTTTAGACGATTGGCTGCAGCTAGAGCAGCTGGTCATCTCTGCATCTCAGAGCTTGAATCTGGCTGAGACCGTGTGCTTGGCTCATCTGTTCCTTAGTCTGTACTGTTTGTGTTGAGACTCGTTTGGCCATGGCATGTCTTATTGATCAACAAGTCTGCGAGAAGTTCACTTGGTTACATGCATATATTTGTTACTGAGTTTGTGAACCAATGTAAGAGTGAAATAATTGTCAGCTGCTATTATTACTGTTATTAAGGTGAGAATCAGTCTTGTCATACCTTTCCACCTTTCTATTAATTAATAAGTATTGTTTTAATTACTAAATCATTTATTTATTGATAGTCACCCTCTGATTTTGGTAATGCCCCGGGTTGACTGTGAGTTGCAGAGTAGGATCACTTTGGAAAGAGACATGGCCAGAGCCATCCTGGTGGGATAGGGCTTGGTGGTGGGCATTGGTCACAGTGAGCCCCACGTTTGTCCTGAAAGACTAGCATAGTTGCAAAGCCCTCACGACTGGAAGGTTACAGGCTTCTCACAGTAGTGAGCCCTGGGTCTGTCTTGTTTTCTGTCTGCCTCTGAGTTCCCTTCCTGCTCCTCCCTTCCCTCATGCATGCCTCCCTGAGTCAGGCCAGACCCACCCAGGACAGCGTCCAGGGACTTCCCTGCAGAGTTGGCTCCCATGTCTCCATGTTGAAGACAATGAGCGTGGTGTGCGCACAGCACATTTCAGGTTCCGTGCCAAACTGTGCCTGCATTCTCTTTTAATCCTCAGAGCAGCTACCCCACATTGACCCAATGATTAAACCCATTTTAAAGAGGAGTGAGGACACTTAAGGCCTAGATCCCACAGCTGTCTGCAGCAGAGGCTGGGTTCAAATCCACGGCTATGTGACTCTAAGACCTTGCATGTACCTCATGGCAGAGTGAACCGGGATGGCACCGTTAAAAAAAAAAAAAAGGGGGAGGATCTGGGAAGATAGAGGGCAATGGGGCCCTCCTCATGCTCTGGAGCTGCCATTAACAAGGGCTTGGGCTCGGGCATGCAGAGGCCAGGCTGGATGAAGCTGCCCACGAGGAGAGGGAAGGTGCAGAGGTCCTGAGCGTGAGAAAAGAGCCAGAAGGGGAGAGGACTCCTTTAGTCCCAGCCTTGACGTGAAGGCCTGAACTGCAGTGGTGGGGACATGAGGAAGAGGGAGCCAAGACTTTCCAAATGAAATATCGACAGAGCGTTGTAACATATACATCGTTTGCTTTTGTTATGTCCTAAGACTGAATTACAAGGAATATTTATATCCAGGATCAATTCGGTTCTGGGGGTGTGGGAAACATCAGTGAACAAACCAGAAAAAGCCCTGCCCGGAGGAATTCCCATTGTAATAAGAGGTCAAACAAGGAGCAACAGCAACCACAATTCAACCCATAATAAATAGGTAAAATATGTGGTGTTGATATTCATACACGCAGACCTAGGGAGGAGCCCCAAGACTGAACATGTACCTCAACAAGTGGAGGACAGGGAAAGACCAAAGCAAGAGGCTTGCAATTGATAGAGTGTATTAAATGTAAGGGAAAGTCAAACTTACATGTGAGGCATATCTTCTGCAGCTGCAAGACAAAATGGACCCTTGTGCCACTTGGCAGGTGCCCCAGAATTATATAGAGTAAAAGGGGGAATAGTGATGGGTACGTCAGTGCTGCCAGGTACGGGAAATTAATTTACATGCTTGACCAGGTCAGGACAATAACCTGTTCCAGGGACTAGCACGTGGCAGGAGGCAAGGGAGGGGTACTGATATTTATATCAGAATGAACATCAATTACGATCAGAGAGCCTCTAAAGGGGATTTGCATAAAGGATCCTCCATTCTAGCCTGGGTCCAGCTCAAGGGACAGAGAGCAGTCATTTCTTGGAACAGTCTCTCCTTTATAGTTAATAAACAAAATTTAACTGAGTACATTTGATGATCTAATTGGCTTTATTAAATGATTCATGCATCAAGCAGCAATTCATCTAATAAGCAGAGATGCTACGAGGGGTTATACAAGATAGAAGGCTTTTAGAGAAAGGAGGGCAGGACGAAGTCAGCAAAAGAAAATCGAAAGTTCATTAAAGGAAAGTAAGAGTTCAGGTAATGATGGCTTCTCATTGGTTAAGCTGTGATGTTTCCGTTATCTGGGCTTGTTGCTGGGCAGGGGGAGAATCTGATGGAGTATGAAAGTAGTCACGTGTTGTGGTCTGTCATTGACTTTCTTCCTGTTGAGGTCTGCAGGTGAGGTCTTCCTTTTTGGGGTAGTTGACCTCAGTGGTAAGGTGTGATAGCTCCTTCCCAACTCCAATTATAGTAGAGGTTTCCTTTAATTTTTGCAACAGAATATTAGCAGGTAATAAAGGCTGACTTAGAAAAACATAAGGGCAAGACTCCAGATTGCTCCTAAAGTGGCAGTGTCATTACAGAGACTTATTTTTAAGTCCATGAAATGTCATTTCCTATCCTTGTTAGGTTCAGTCAGACTAAACTGCAGTGCCATCAAAAACAAAAGAAAATATAAAAATAAAAACATTAGGACTGTGAGAGAAAAAAGGCATTATTCTTGCCATTGCAGAACTCTCCAAATGGCAAAGAGGCAGCTGCATGTCATGTTATCTGAATTCTTATTACACAAACTAGGTCATTTTAATGCCACAGTTATCCTGCTTTCACTTGTTTCTTTTTTAATTATAGAAAAAAAATGCAGATATATTCTCTTTAAAAAGTTCAAAAATATGGTAGTTATTATAAGATAAAAAGTCACAGTCTTCCTTCACTAACACCCATTTCTCGCCTACGCAGAGAAAATTGTTATGGTGTTATTATCAACTTGGTATATGTATTGCCAGAGTTCTTTCTATGTGTTTATATATAATGAAAGAGTGAAAATTAAAAACATAACAAACAACCAATAGAAAAGATGAACTGAGACAAAAGCTGGTTCTTTAGGAAAACTGATAAAATAGATAAACCTTTGGCAAGATTGGTAAAGAAAATAATGGATAAGGTATTTAGAAATGAAAAACCTGCTGTAATTTGAAAATCTATTAGTTTTACTACAAATAAATGAAGACACAGATACTTTTGAGGAAAAGACAGTTTAACGAAGTTGAATTGAGAGAAAATAGAGCATCTGAATGGGCATATGAACAGACATACAAAAATCTCTTCACGTACATAAAATCTCATCAAACTGAAGGAACAGATGATTCTTATATGTTTTCTAACTCCTGTAGAAAATAGAAAATGATAACTACTCATCAATTTATGCTATAAAGCTGGTACAACCTTGTTGTCATGCAGATGAATCTCACTGATGTGCAGTTATACAAATCCTAATTTAAGTAATAATAAGTTAGCAACTTGAATCCAGGGATGGTGATGGAGTATTATTTTTTATCTAAAGAGAGTTTATCCCAGGAATTCAAGGATGGCTTAATTATATGGAAGACTCAAGAGCAAAGCCAAGCTAATAAAGGCTTGAAAGAAGAATATGGGAGGTGGAGGAGTGGGGAGAGAAGAATATTGGAGATATATTATAATGTTACTAGAAGCCCGGTGCACAAAATTCATGCATGGGGGGAAGGGAGGTGTCCCTTAGCCCAGCCTGCACCCTCTCCAATGTAGGATCCTTCTCACAATTCAGAACTGCTGGTTCCCAACAGTTCACCTGCCTGCCTGCCTGATTGCCCCTAACCACTTCTGCCTGCCAGCCTGATTACCCCCTAACCACTTCCCTGCTAGCCTGATTGATGCCTAATTGCTCCCCTGCTGGCCTGATTGCCCCAAACTGCCCTCCCCTGCTGATCTGGTCTCCCCTAACTGTCTGCCCTGTATGCCTGGTCACCCCCAACTGCCCTCCCCTGATGGCCTGGTCACCCCTAACTGCCCTCTTTTGCCAGCCTGGTCACCCCTAACTGCCCTCTTCTGCTGGCCTGGTTGCCCCAAACTGTCCTCCCCTGCTGGCCATCTTGTCATGGCCATCTTGTGTCCACATTGGGGTGGCCATCTTTGACCACATGGGAGAAGCCATCTTGTGTGTTGGAGTGATGGTCAATTTGCATATTAGGCTTTTATTATATAAGATAATAATTAAATTGTGTGATATAAGCATATTGATATATACATAGAAAAGGGGCCAGAAGTCAACTGGTCTACTGATCTATTAATCTATTAGAATCTATGTGAGATGTATCAATTAATGGGGAAAAGAAAGACTATTTGAAATATCATTTGGTGACAGTTGACTATGGGGAAGAAGACAAAATTAGATCCTTATTTCTATTTCAGATGGATTCAGACTTGTGTGAAAAAGCAGATAGGCACTTTACAAAATAGGAAACCTGAATGGTCAACAAAGTTATGAAGAGATGGCCAAGTTCTCCTGTGAGCAAGGAAATGCAGATTTAAACAGCACTGACGTAGGATGTCAAAGCCAGCATAGCCACCCGATGGCCACCACTTCTAGGCAAGTGACATCCCAGTTTCAGAGCAGTTGAATTGGGGTAAAAGCCAGTGTTAGAACCAAAGACAACATTGTGTTATGGACTTCTCACAGGGGACTGGGAGGCAGAGTACAAAGTCACAGGACTCGTGGTCTTGTGCACGCCGTGGTGGCCTCCTGCCCTGTTGCCGGAGCTTTCCTCAGGCACTACCACCTCTAGGAGTTGTACAAAAGTTAAGTCACTCATATAAGGTTTACTTAAAGGACTTCCCTTTTACACTTAAATGCCTCTTATGGTCCCAAAGCAACAAAGCAGTAGCAAACAATGCATGCTAAACTTGGTCTCCATACATCCACACCCAGAATGCAGTCTCACGCAGACCTCCTGGGACCTCAAGCGGCCTTTTTGGGAACCTTGGTGGTTCTTCTGATTAGGCACCACTCACACCAAGGCATCCAGTGAAGGGGTGCAAAAGAAGAAGCAGATTCACTTTGTTTTTTTTTGTTTTTTTTTTCTTTTAAAATATATTTTATTGATTTTTTTGCATAGAGGGAGAGGGATAGAGAGCTAGAAACATCAATGAGAGAGAAACATCGATCAGCTGCCTCCTGCACACTCCCCACTGGGGATGTGCCCACAACCAATGTATATGCCCTTGACCGGATTCGAACATGGGACCTCTTAGTCCCCAGACCAACGCTCTATCCACTGAGCCAAACCAGCCTCGGTGAAGCAGATTCACTTTGTGGATAGAGAGGATTTCTCCTGAGCCTTGCAGAGAAGCGAGACCAGAACCAGGCTCTGAGCCCCTAGTGCTAATCCTACTTTAAGAAGTCAAGGGGGAAAAAAAAAAAAAAAAAAAAAAAAAAAGAAGTCAAGGGGGTAATTGCATCCAGTAATGAATCAGCGCAATAATAAACTAATAATATATTAGCATCCTAAAGAGCTGGTCAAACCTGTTTTCCTTCGAGACACAGAGAAACAAGTTGTTAATTGCTCCTCACAGAATAACTCAGCTCGAGCTAGAAGGTGTGGCCGAGATGAGGACTGATAAAGCACATTCTGGGGGCAGTGAGGCCCACCGCCCCTGAGCGGAAGGTGGAGCGGGCTGAGGAACACTGGGCTCTCTTCGTCTCAGCTGCCCTTGAGGATGTGTTTCATGTGTTCTCTTGACTAACGTACCCATAGGGTCTCCTCCCTAGTGTTCCATACCCTGTGCTCTGCCCCTGTGGGACCCGGGTGTGCTTTTTCACAGGCAGACAGTCATCCCCGGGCTGAAGAGCATCCATTTGAAAATTAGACTTCACGGGATTCTACCACTTTCTACCCCCCCCTCCTTTTTTTTTTTTTTTTTTTTTTTAACCAATTCTACCACTTTCTCCCCTTCACCTTTTTTTTTTTTTTTTTTTTTTTAAAAGATATTTTTATTGATTTCAGAGAGGAAGGGAGGGAGAGGGAGATAGAAACCTCACTGATAGAGAATCATTGATCGGCTGCCTCCCACAACATTTGCCCTTGACTGGAATCGAACCTGGGACTCTTTAAGTCCACAGGCCAATGCTCTATCCATTGAACCAAACCAGCCAGGGCCCAGCCCTACCACTTTCTATTCATGTAGCAATAACCACGAGCATGTTTTAAAGCTGTACACCCCATCCCTACAGCAGCTCTCACACCCCAGACAGCACCCCAGCCACCCACACCCCAGACAGCACCCACATCCCAGACAGCACCCCAGCCCCGGCCCTGCCCCCGCAGCACCACGTAGTCTTCCAGTGTTCAGACACAGCCACTATGTTGTCTGCAGAGGTGAGTGTCCCCGGGAGAAGCATAACGAGGGGCCCCAGACAGGCGTGGCCAGGTCAGGGCCTACCTGGGATTTCTCTGTTCCTGTGCAGGGTGGAATGTGGCCTGTCAGGTGCTCCTCGGCTCAGACAGGTAGGGTTATGCTGCAGGCAGGATGTACAGGGAACTGGTTTGTCTCGCTTGCAACATTCAAGGGCAGAATGCATTGAGGAGGGAAAATAGGTACGGAAGGTTTCAGGGATCTCCCCTGGTGCCCAGCTCAGGCCTGCGGTGTGTGACTTTGACATCTATTTTTGGAAGCCACCGTAAGCGTCTCTGTAACCAAGAAGAAGGTCGTGCTGTGCTCACAGCTTAAATGTCCTTCTGGGCAAATCCTCTTATCACTGCTGCGCCTGAACCTGGCTCCCTCTGAGGTGTCCCTCGTATCACTGGGTTGGCACTATGGAACGGAGCATAGAGAAACTCTGCTTCTTTCTTCCTACAGGGAGCAGAAGATTGCTTAATTAAAAAGGAGAAAGAGCCAAAACCGGTTTGGCTCAGTGGATAGAGTGTCGGCCTGCGGACTGAGGGGTCCCAGGTTCAATTCGGTCGAAGGCATATAACGTGGTTGCAGGCACATCCCCGATGGGGGTGTGCAGGCGGCAGCTGATTGATGTTTCTCTCTCATCAATGTTTCTAACTCTATCTCTCTCCCTTCCTCTCTGTAAAAAATCAATAAAATACATTTTAAGCCAAAGCCGGTTTGGCTCAATGGATAGAGCATCGGCTTGGAGACTGAAGGGTCCCGGGTTCTATTCCGGTCAAGGGCATGTACCTTGGTTGTGGGCATATCCCCAGTAGGGGGTGTGCAAGAGGCAGCTGATCGATGACTCTCTCTCATTGGTGTTTCTAACTCTCTATCTCTGTCCTTTCCTCTCTGTAAAAAATCAATATTTTAAAAAAAATACATTTAAAAAACAACAAAACAAAAAACAAAAAAACAAAAAAAAGGAGAGAGTAAATGGCTCCAAGTTTCCAAATAAATTCATGAAAGGGAAGAATTTTTTTAAATCCCTGGTGTCTTATAACCAAGTTGGCTTCTATTAAATTATTTTCAGCGCACTTTAGTATTAAACATACTTTATTGTAGCCTACACTTTGAAAATTAGCAATGTGAATGTGATACTGTGTCAATATTTATAATGATTATTTTAATCAAAACATTTAGTTTGCCATGGTGAGAGACTAGGGATGCACAAGGCAGCATGCTGAATGTGTCTATTCTATCGCATAGATTACCTGCTACATTTTAAAAAAATATATATTTTATTGATATTTTACAGAGAGGGAGGGAGAGAGACAGAGAGCTAGAAATGTCGATGAGAAAGAAACATCCACCAGCTGCCTCTTGCACATCCCCCACCGGGGATGTGCTCGCAACCAAGGTACATGCCCTTGACCAGAATCGAACCCGGGACCTTTCAGTCCGCAGACCGACGCTCTACCACTGAGCCAAACCAGTTTCGGCCCTGCTACATTTTTATAGCAGAAATTAAGTGTTAAAATTATTATAATACGTCACATTAACATATTAAAAATAACAAGGTATTTTTTTTGCAAGGCAAATGTCCGATTAAAAGATGGGCATGCTTTGGCAGTGTTGGTCTTTCTGTCTGCCGAGCGAGTGGTCACGAGCTGTAGGGACCACTGGCTGCCCACTGGTGCCCAAGGCCCTGATGGGAGAAGCAGAGCGACCATGAGATTGCCTTAGCAGGTCCTGCTTTCCATGTTCCGACAGCATGAGGTCCCCAAGCTACTAAACTAGCATAAAAGAAAATTTTCCAAATTAAGTCGTCGGCCCTCTTTGGGAATGAACAAGAACAATTTTAGACTTAATCTTGTCTCTGCCTTCCTGTGTTTAGAGTGGTGGGGATATTTGGCTCCTTAGAATATCTAGTAAATAGAATGAAGTAAGTGTCCTCCGCCCTCAAGTTGGAGAAAGCATGTAGGACTCCTTGAGACTTCAGCGAAGAGAGCTTTCACCAGCAGCTCGATGTGTAGACATTCCCCTGCACACATGAGCACATGCGTGTGGGTTGACAGAGTGTGAACGCCCATCAGCCAGGAGCCGGTGAAGTGGGTTATGGCACCTCACTATGTACATGAGGATACAGAAAGGTGCTGGGGAAGATTGCAAAGGAAGGTATGACAGGATCCTCTTTGCGAGATATGTCCGTGTGTAACATGGCATTACAAGATTGGAGGAGGCCCCTCAGGTGGCTTAGTGATAAGTGGTTACCTAGGGGACGACTTTGACTTTTCACCAGCTAGTCTCCTGTAGTGTTCAACCTTATCAGAGGCATGTATCATCTTCATAACGAAAAAACACCCGTAAAGAAGGAAGAGTGTGCTCAGAGGACCCCAGGCTCGGGGGGCATTGGCACGGTGCTGGAGGAGCCATCATAGGTGGGGCAGCCACTGTCCTTGAAATCCCAGGGCCACCCCATCAAGGGCACACGTTTCACCAACCAGCTGTAGGATTAGAAATGGCCAAATATTTTTAAATAATGTTTTATGGCACTAATTTGTGTGCCGAAACCCTCCACTCTGGGGAGGTGGTGGGTGCAGAGGGACGATGTAGAGAGACCAGCGGCTTTGAGCCCCACCTTACTCTGTGTAGGTGGCACGATGGCACCACGTGGGCACTGGGGCCAGGTTCGCTTGTGCCTGCTCCCTCATCCTCCATGGCCAGGCCGTGGACCACCTCGACCCTGAAGCTTCTCTAGCTCCCTGGAAGGAGCTTGCTGCAGGCAGTGCTGTCCCTGCAGCTCGGGTGGCCCTGTGCCTGCTCCTCCTGCTCCCCAAGCCTCCTTTAGCTCCGGTGAGCAGAGCCACTGAGGTAGGGTGGCATGTCCATGGCTGCCTAGCTCTCCTTCAGTTTACATGACAGGAAAAGGCAGCTGTCACCTGCAGATTTTTAAAGTTTTACTTTTTGTTATGTTAAAATATACATAAAATGATATTTATAATCTTTATCATTTTAAAAAGATAGTTTATATTGATTTTTGGGAGATAGGGAGAGAGAGAGAAACATCAATGTGAGAGTGAAACATCCATCGGCTGCCTCCTGCACCCCCCTACCAGGATAGAGCCACAACCCAGCCATGTGCCCTGACCAGGAGATGAACTATCAACCTTTTGGTGCATGGGACTACGCCTAACTAACTGAGCCACATCGGCCAGGGCAACAATCTTTACCATTTTTAAGTAAACAGGTCAGTGGCATCAAGCGCATTCACATTGTTGTGTAACCATCACTGCCATCCCTCTCCAGAATTTTCTCATCTTCCCCAACGGAAACCCTGTCCCCATTAAATATCAGCTCCCCTCTTCCAGCCCCTGGCATTCACCCTTCTACTTCCTGTCTCTGATTTTGGCGGCTCTAGGCACCACAGATAAGTGGAATCCTGCAGTATTTGTTCACTTGTGGCTGGCTCTTTTCACTTAGCACGATGTCCTCAAGCTTCATCCTGTTGCTGGATGCGTCAGTTTCCCTCCTTTTAAAGGCTGAATCCTACTCTGTTACGTGTGCAGACCACATTATCCATCTAATCATCCATAGGCAGATGCTTGGTTATGTACTTTTTTGGCTGTTGTGAATAATCCTGCTATGAACATGGGTGTGTAAACACACTCCTGCTTTCTGCCAGCAGATTTTAACTGATGCCCAGCAGGGCCTCACTGTCCAGAGCCCCCGGGAACCCGGGGTAGCCTTGCTTTGGGAATCACTCTCAGGAGTCCCTTTACCTACACGGCATGGCATCTCTCCCTGGTCCTCCCTCCACCTTTGCCCTCCTCTCCTCTGGAAAGGATCCTACGGGGATAGACCTGTTTTCTGTCCCTGGCTGAGAGGGAACGAGGGACGAGGCTGTCAGGGGCTGTGGTTGTGGAACAAGTGATACACGTTTTGGGGTTTTTCTCTTCATCCCCATGGCAGATTACTACAGCCCTGAGATGCTGGGCCTGAAGACGGACCAGGAGGTCCTGGGGGAGCTGGTGAGGACCAAGCTGCCAGCGGTGGCGGCCCTCATGGACGGGCACGGCGTCCTGTGGACTCTGGTCGTGTCACGTTGGTTCATCTGCCTGTTTGTGGACATCCTGCCCGTGGAGGTGAGCATGTCGCAAGCCTCGCTGGGCCCAGGGCCGGCTCCGATCAGCGTGCAGTGATTTCTGTTTCTCTGCAGACGGTGCTTCGAATCTGGGATTGTTTGTTCAACGAAGGCTCCAAGATTATCTTCCGGGTGGCTCTGACCCTGATTAAGCAACACCAGGCTTTTATTTTGGAAGCCACCAGTTTCGCAGACATCTGTGAAAAGTTCAAGGAGATCACCAAAGGGAGTTTTGTGACTGAATGCCACACCTTTATGCAGGTGAGTGGGTGGGCGTGCTCAGCTGGTGCTCTGCTCTGCGGTTCCCGTTGCCTGGAATGGGTGTCCCGGCTTTGCACGTCTGTCTGGCAAGGCATCTATCTCTGTGTTTCCTTTGGATCTCTGCCTCCACTCGTCCCTTCACCCTCCATCTCAAGCAAACCCTGAGGAGGGACTCCAGCCCC